ATAATAATAATAATACATTTTACAATACTAAACTACGTAAATCCTAAACAAAACTATTCATGGAAGTGTAAGCAGAGCATGGCAGAATACATCTATTGATTGATGTTTCAACAACACGTTTATAAAAATGTGCAGCAAGGCTTCTTTTACGAATGATTGTTTTCATTAAGTCAGGATAATCACCGTTGAAGATGGGATGGGCAAACCATCCAATGAAGAACTGAGGAATAATATACATAAGATTATTATAAATTAATTTGCTTTGGATACCAGATTTGTGAGGTACTATAATTCATCCCAGAAGGTTTCACTCAAATCCAGTTCAATACCTATTTCACATGCTTTTATTCACTACTATCTGAACTTTCCTGATGCACGAAGCCCCGCCCCTCTGGTAAACTGGAAAACATCAAACAGAATGAAGTGGCAGACATGGTTTCAACATTTATTTGTATACCTGCATGTAGCGAATGGCTGCATCGTAATCCTCCTGCTTATAAGGGTTCCTTGGCTCCGTCCAATCGGAATTGACGGTAATTGAGATGAGGCCACCCTGCGTTGCTCGGTACTTGTCATTGTAGAGGTGCCAGACCTCAGCATGGGCCTTGATTAGGTTGTGAGCTGCAATATACTGCTTGCCCACAATGCCTGAAACAGTTGAGGTGTTATTAACATTTTCGAATACTGGACATTTAAAACCAATAGACCATAAAGCATATGAGATATTGGTTAAGCACAACATAAAATAACTAATTCTGTCAAACGTTTCTCCCATAAACTGAACAATAATAAAAAGATTTGAATAAAATAAGGTGATTAGATTTGTTATTTTTCAGTTTACATGAGAACATTTTTAATCTCATCTGTCTAAAACTACTTTTGTATAGGAAGCCTCTTTTTTTACTGCAGACATTTCATTGGTTTTGAGCATAAAAAGAAGCACAAGTAAGGGATTTCTAAAACTTTAAAAGAGTGGACATTGCTAATCCATACAAAAAGAAAAAGTTTGACACCATGATATTAAAATCGGTAGGGAGGATGTCAAAAGAAATTTGTTTCATCACCTGGAGCAAAGGTCCCATATCCATAGCCAAGGTTGGCTACAATGTAGGGTTCATTTAGAGTGATCCAGAACTTAACTCTGTTTCCAAATCCGCTGAATAAAACATCGGCATACTCTCTGAATCGCTGGACGATGGTTTCATTCTCCCTCCTCCCACTTTCTGTAGAGCAAGGGGGAGGTCCCAGTGGTACAGGGTCACCTGAGAAACAGAGGAGAGGGAATTTGTGCCACAGTACAACATACTTTTCCTACAAGGGATATTTGTCCCTTTGGGGCCAGATTGTGTTTCTTCTATGGCAATAATGATTTTTAGCACTGCTGATGTTTTTGATCTTACAACTAGAGCCAATTAAAGTGTATAATGAACATTAGTGGTTACAAACAACAACACTGTCTACCTGGGGCTGAATATTAGCAGCTTCCAAGGCATCCAGTAATCTATGGTAGTAGTTCAGTCCAGCTTCATTGATGTGGTTGTTGGTGCCATCAGGAAGCACTCTGGGCCAGGATACAGAGAGGCGATAGTGGGTCACCTTCAGCTTCTTCAGCACCTCCACATGCTCGTCAATCTTGTTGTAACTATCACAAGCAATATCGCCATCATCACTGTTGTCCACTCTCAAAGGAGTATGGGCAAACTGGTCCCAGATACCCAGTCCCTTTCCATGGGCTCTCCAGCTCCCCTCAATCTGAATGATGATTTGGATTTTAGTTTCATAGTTTCAGTCAAGTTTATTTATGTATGTATTTATGTATATGTATCTATGTTTTAATGTTTATTATGTAAATGTTTGTTTAAATAAAGTTTTATATAACAGGAACTAACCACGTAAAGTGATTACTTGATGACTTGATCATTTGTTACACATGAAATCATCATGAGTCATACATTAGTTAATAGTGTAGATAGTGTATAGTGTAAATCTGTCAACTTTGCTTACCTGGAAAGCGGCACTGGCAGTACTCCAGTTAAACGCTCTGGGAAACTGTCCATAAAGTATCTTCTCATCATTTGGTAATGGGAAGCCATTGTCCTTCATGACTTGGTAATAATAGTGAGCAGAGTGTTTGGGTGTCCTTGGCCGATGTGGGTTAGTGAAGTCCACATGGTGCAGCCCGAATCCTAATTGGTACCCATTGAGCCACTCAAAAGAATCCATGAGAGATGTTGCTATGTATCCTTTCACCTTCACACCATCAAGATTATGAGCTGTGTAAAATATGTTAGGATAGATATATAGTTGGTCAATGTTTCATATTATATAATTCCAACCTGTTCTGATCCCAGGATGACATATATACAGATGCTTTGTCATGCCTCCTCGGCATGTCCTACGTACACACCAACACCTATCAGTGGCTACATGAGACACACCAGGTACACAAAACCTTTCAACCAGAAAGGCTTTTTAACACGTGGTTGTGAAACATTCACAGGTTGGTTCGATTAAGGTAACAAAACTACTTGGTTAGGATTAGGAATACACCATAGTATGGGTTAAAATAACTATGTTACATTACATACTTCATGTGACTTCATAGAAGTTGCAAGTCATGTGATGACGCAAGTCACAGCTGCAAGTAACGTGACACCAGGCATCCTTATCACTCTTCATACTACACCCCCTAATGTAGATGGGTTTGCATTGAAACATGGTGTGTTTCATACTGACGTTAAAGGGTACCGTGTGCATCTGTATGAGACACTGAAGGATGGGAAAAACCATCAGTATTTGAAAACCTGGGAGAGAGAACAGGCTGAAAATTCCACAGGAAATGGTGACTAGTCCACATGCCGACAAGTGGTCATGAAAGATACTGTGTGTGTGTGTCATCTCATTTAAGATAACTACCTTAAATTAGTGACATGTCCAACAGATTATAGCTTTAGCATGCTAGATGAAGGGACCTTACAAACAGTATGTTCTACAATATGTTCTAACACTCACCCTTTAAAGCCTCATCAACGTAGGTTTTGTAGTAAAATACTCTGTCTATGTCATCAACTGTGGTCCTAATGTCTGTAGCTACTCCATTCT